CCCTCGGTGGGAGCGCTGCCACGCTTCCCAAGCGGCGCACTGTAGCAGTGCGCCACCGGGCCGGCCCGAAACGTGGGGCTGTAAAGAGGTGATCAGATTGTAGGATCATGCTCTAATGAATGGATTAAAAATGGTGGCCATGGCCACATCCCCCTTCCCCCTTCCTTGTCCTGCCACCCTATCCTCCCTTCCCCTCCCCCTTCCCCTCTCTCCTTCGACCCCAACTGTTCTGCAACATCTTAGAATGTAAAATAATAATAATAATAATAAATTGATTAATTTTTTTAAAATGGTGGTCAGGACATGGCTCTGAGGGCTTTAAAAGGGAAACATGAAGAGTCTCTGCTCTCTCTGCTTCCACCATCTTGCAATGTGAGGGGTCACTGACACCACCACCAGATGCATTCCTTGGACTGTGGATTTCCCAGCCTCAGAAACTGTAAGCAATAAATTTTGTTTTCTTTATAAAATACGCAGCCCATATATTTTATTATAAGTAACAGAAACCTAACAACCTGTTAAAGTGGGCAGGCAGACATGGCTCCATTTTTTTCCAGGTAAGAATTAAGGCTCACAAGGCTAGTGACGTGCTACCTGTGAAGAGGTGGCGCTAGAACTCTGATCTGATTCCTAGCTGAGTACGCGTTCTGCTGATATATACAATGTGGCCTAGAACAATAAGCCCACTTCTTCCAAGTCACAATGAAAACCCTTACAGCTAGGTCATTCAGAGATCACACAACAGCAAAGTGTTGTTCTGATAAGAACCTTCCTATTCAAAACTGTCCGGCTTCCAGAAGACAAGAACAGACCTTCGATTTAATTTCAGGGTACTGCCTGCCAGTCAAATAACAGAGGGATTTTCTCTTTCATCCAGGCAGCAGATTTGTTGTGCCTACTTTTTCATTAATAACCTTGAGCAAGCCACAGAGAAGGCTTTCTTCCCTCTACCACATTCCGTTGTTGATGAATCTGACATGAATATATGGAAATAACCAGAAAATATTTAAATTTTACACATTTATATAACACACCTTCCTGCTGTGGAAGTTGTAATTTCACAGATATTACTGAATTTAAACCTACGATGTTTTTATCAGGAAGGCCACTAGAACAGCAATGCACACATAGGCAATGGACTGTCTCAAGGTCATGCACAGCAAGACAGTGGTGAAACGCAAAAGCACAGAACCATCTCTTGGGGCAAGACATAGTCCTCCAAGCCATTGAATACATTTCTATTACCTGTATGGGTAAGTTTGACCCACCTGTATGTCATGAAAAGCAACAAAAAGGAAAAGAAGAGAAGCCAAAGAATATAAACTTTCTTTTAGGTCCATTGTTAAGTTTCCAGTACTGAGCAAAAAGCCCGAATAACTGTGACACTGAAAAGCAACAAAAAGGAAAAGAAGAGAAGCCAAAGAATATAAACTTTCTTTTAGGTCCATTGCTAAGTTTCCAGTACTGAGCAAAAAGCCCGAATAACTGTGACACTATGATTGGCCCCTATCTGAACACATGCCTGTTGACCTATCTTCTTTTGAGAATCCCTTTTATTTCTCATTATTTCTTTTCCTTGAGCTCTTAAATCTAGTAAGTGACCCTTCTCCTCCTATTTGTGTCTAAGATACCATACCAGAAGCTTTTAGTGTTTTGTAAATTCACACCATGCCTTGTGAATTCTCGTGAATAAAGGCTAACATGCTAGCTCTATAAATGTCAGTGAATCAGAAGTAACTTGTACTACAAACTTTTTTGTAGAATTGGTTCAGTTTGACTCAGTCTTGCATGTTACTCACCATGTGCCTAAGGTTGACAGTGATTTGCACAAATAGCCTATAGTCTGTTTGTACTTCATTTAGTCTCTAACTGTGAGAGGCTACTTAGAGGATAAAGAGCTTGTTGGTAAGGACCCCAGATGCACTATACCACCTTCTGCAATGCAAGGTTTTTCTATTCACTGCCAATTTGTATCAAATTTGAACCGACTGAATTGTCAAAGGACTTCAATCCAGTTTCCTTACCGGGTAATAAAACTCATTTGTTGGTTCAATATTTGCAATGGCGATAACATCCTTAGACTGAAAGTGAATGGATTTCTGCCTGTGGAAAATCAGCCACTTTGCCCATCTGTCTGTATATAAAATGACTTCAAATGGCTCCCGAGGGGACTTTTGGCTCCACCCATGGATACGTCCATTGGCAGCTCTCTGCTCACAAGAAGGTATTGATCTAACCCCAGCCAGGTCTGCATCCAGTTAGTAACAAAGACCAGCAATGCTCCAGGTAGTTGCTGGAGAATATAACCTCAAACTCACTGCTGCTCAATACCAGATTTCCTGAAGGGTTTGTGGCCATCCATTCCTCTGGATACTCTAAATCTCTCCATGGACTAATCAGACCAACACTAGAGTAAATCATACTGGGCCCCAGTAAAACTGTTTTCTCTGATCAGGTGATGTAATTGGCCTACATTGAGATATATGACATAAAACTGCCCTATGTAACTTGTCACTGTATTTACAACAAAGTTATGTTACATACTGTTCCCTCTAAAGGGTCCATGAGAGAAGCCTCTTTCTGCTCTCTGTATTAAGAATATTTCTACTTTTCTTGGGCAACTGGTCTGTTTTCACCTCGGAAAAACTACATATGTTGTTGGTAATGTTTCACATTTTGCATGGTCTGACAATATGCTTAGAATCTAATATGTAGCCTGCTTCCTCTACTGGAATAAAACTTGCTGGCATGCATTTGGAGGACCAACCTTACCCCAAGGCTACATCCGTACCTTGTTTTGCCTTTGCCTTTTTTCAGCTTGCTAATTTCTAATTTATTTTAATATTTATTAATATTTTTATTATTTATTTGTTTTATTTTCCTGTGTTGCATCTTGTTAGACCACTTTTAAACCCTTTACAAAAAAGTAGACATATAAATGCAGAAGAGAAATGAGAAGCCACAGTGAGGCAGTGTCAGTTGGTGGACTGAGCATCACACACAAAATTCTCAGAACTATAATCTTAGGTTTCTCATCAATACACCAGTTTAATGGTCAGGAATAATTCTTAGATCTATAACTAAGAAGCTTAATGTTAAAGCCTGAAGAATAAAAACATACAGACATAATAAATAATGAGGGAATTTCAGAAATCAAGTTATAAAAGATAATATATTACAAAACCCACTGTCAGCCTCTCAACTCTTCAACCTTTCCTGGGAGTCAGTTACAAAGAACATTAATGCTTCCTAAACAACTACTTGATGATAGCATTTCACTGCCATTCAAAAGCATAATACTCCAAATCACCTACCGTGTTTGTGAATAAATGCAAGTCCTTGCAATATCTGATACATGATATTCCTTATAGCAGACTCAGGAAACAACTTATTTCTGTAAGGGGCAGAGAAAAACAAAGTTATAAATCTGGCCTTATGTTTGGAAACAAATCCCATTTTCATGTTCTTTTGGTTATATAGTAAGAACTTAAGAAAACATTTGCTCAAACACTAATTTTCTGACCAGATCGATAATAAATACCAAAGAAAAACAACCATTTGTCCATACAGGGGAGCTACCTTATAAACACTAAGTATATTCAGTTATGTTACAAAGAAGAAAAGATTAAACATTTTATAGTAAACAAAAAAAAATTCCTTCCGGGCCGGCCCGTGGCTCACTCGGGAGAGTGCGGTGCTGATAACACCAAGGCCCCGGGTTCGGATCCCACATGGGGATGGCCGGTTCGCTCACTGGCTGAGCGTGGTGCTGACAACACCAAGTCAAGGGTTAAGATCCCCTTACCGGTCATCTTTAAAAAAAAAAAAAAAAAAAAAAATTCCTTCCAACAGAGCATATAAAATCTAAAAATGTCTTCTCTCCATGATATAAACTAAAACTTCTAAAAATTTTAGTGGGGAAAATTTGAGGTCTTCCAGATGCAGGCTGTATGAGACACGACGGATGCTGACATTTTCCCTCTGGTTGGGCAAACCACACAGTTTCGCTGCTGTTATTGACAATGATGATATTTGTTCAGATCACTCAGAGGGATGCTGTGAATGGTACTCATTTTGTCACCAAGAAAATGTGCCTCAGGGGCTCTGCATGGTTCACTTTTAAAGTACAAAATTACCATAGCAGGTAAGTTCTTATTATTTCCCTCAGCATGCAAGCGCCTGAGCACTGTAGCAAGAGAGGATCTGAAATAAAACTAAAACTTTTCAACAGAGGTCTCAAAATAAATGGAGCTGTGCAGATCTCTGACTTGCAGATGCTGCGCTCATATGTTCTTGTGGGAATGAACTGCAGAGTGCCTGTTAAATCTTTGAGCTGCTTTGGGTGAATAACCCTTTAAAACATGAAAACAGCTGCATTGAAAGTAGCTTCCCTGAACCTATCACAAGGCCTCCCTAGTAGGAATGTGGGTTGGGCCCCTCATCTAGCAGGCAGCTTTCAACATTAAAGCCCAGTAGCATGCTGTTAAACGACTGGAGATAGAACTGGAAGACCACAACAAACAAAAGCAGAAAGAAAACACATCTACTTTGCAGTATTTATTCCTAAGATTGTGATGACCAAACTGTACCTTTCCTTAATGAGCTGGTAAAGATTTTCCTTCATGTACTCGAAGATAAAATAAAGATGATCATTTTCCCTAATAACTTCTTTTAATTTTACTACATTGGCATGGTTGAGCTTCTTTAAGGACTGAAAGGCGAGGAAGAAAAACACAAAAAAATTAGAGAAAATCAGATGTTGAAAAAGAAAAGTAATCCTACACATACTTAGAAAGAAATACCTAATTTTAGAACCACAAAAATGCCATGTTATATTTTATTGACAAGACAATTTAATAAACGGTCTTTCTCCAAAATCGATAGCAAGTTTACCTGGAAAAACGATTTCGATAAGCTAACTGGAAAGTTAAGTATTCAACCAGTAACTGTTATTTCTGGCTGCCCCCAACACCAGGCAATGTTCCAGAGCTATTTTAGGCCCACCCCCTCCAGATGATGGAATTCAGGCTGTGGCCAGAGGGGAACCAATAAAAGAAGCTGAGGCTTTGATTTTTCTAGCACTGGAAAATGCAGCTGTGTAAGGCTGAGATCACCAGCTAACAGTCGGCTGACACTATGAATAGGAAGTTGTTACAATAGATGAGGCCGATAACCTGATTCTCTCGACTTGTCTGACTCATGTGTCCATGAGATGGAGAGTTTTAATCACGGAGCAGAAGAAGGAGACACCTAATTAGAAAGACCCTGAAGTGAGATGAGAGAAATCCCTCTGCTTCTAAGAACAACAAAGGCAAAAAAGTCAGGCAATGGGTGAGGAAGAGAGCATGGTTCAGAAAGTGGTGCATGAAAAAAAGGAAAATGGTGAATGGCTTCCTGATGGCTCGTCCTCACACGGGCACAGTTTTGTGGGTACAAGTGAGCACAGCCATTTGTCAGCTATTTTCTGTTTGCATCATTAGTTCCATCAATGGTGAATGAATACACTTTTGTATTAGTGAGCAGCAATCCTGTTCAGTTACACTCGCCAGAAACACACAACTGCTGGTCTGCTCACTGATGATCAGAATTTGATAGGCTGTCTCCTTCGAGGAAGCTCCAAAGGTCACTTTCGCCAGTTAGATGACTCCTGCAATTCAAAAAGCCTTTTCCTTATAGAGAACTGGGTCCAATTATGATACATTCTAAGGCTCTCTTAATTTTTGAATTTCATGAGGAAGAACATCTCTTTTATAAAACAAATAAAATATCTCAGGACAAAAGTGTTCAAATGAACATCCAAATCTGGAAGGACACGGTAATAAGGTACCCAAGGGATCAGAGCTTGGGAATGCATAATATTAAGTTACTTCAAGCAGCTGGGAAGAGAGAGGAAATATGGTCAGTGAATGAGAACAAAGTAAGATTCTTCTGGAGCCTTGTCCCCAAAGGACAAGTTCCTGCCAAGACCCTTCTCTGGCAGGGAATCCTCAGTTGTTTTGCCAACTGTTTGGGCCAGATCCATCTAGAATTACCTAACCAGGCCAATTACTTCTTTTAGTCAGGTTGGATTCCTGGTCCTCCATGAGTAACAGACACAAATACTGCTTAACTTGTATTCATTGGACTCTCACTGGCTGCGGCCATCTTTTCAGCCTGTTTGCTCGCAATACATCACAAGCGATGGCTGAGACAGCCAGTGGATGAGCAGCTGTGGGGCAGATTCATTCAGAGAAAAATGAAAGTGGTTTTAAAGCTTTTCTAGAAGAGAATTCTAGGCAAGGAGTGGGTACCTTCAGCTCTTAGCCTGAAGCACGGTTGACCCTGAATTACTGGCCCAAATCTAAGAGTCTCACACTCTTGTCTCTAAGGGAGGCTCCTGAATAAGTTAAAATCTGTATTAGTTTAATATAAAAATAATTAATTTTATGTAGGGGACTTCATGTGACTCACTTCACAGAGATATATGAAGATACTTCAAAAAGTTCATGGAAGGAGCTGGCTGGTTAGCTCACTTGGGAGAGCATGGTGCTGCTAACAACAAGGTCACAGGTTCAGATCCCCATACCGGCCAACCGACCAAAAAAAGAAAAAAAAGTACATGGAAGGACTTGTATTATCTTTTAATTCCATTTTTCCATAAACTTTTTGATGTACCCTCACTTTCCAGAAAGAAGGCATCTTATTCAGAAAGAAGGAAAGGTTCTCAAAGGAAAGGGAGAGGCAGGTAGTTGTACCAGAGAGTAGAAGCAGAAGCAGCAAAGAAACCTGGTCCACAGTCCAAATGGGAACTGTTTATCCCCAAGGATGAAGTTTCCAATTGGATATTATCAATTCCACCCTCCTCAGGGTCTGATCAACAGTTTCTTAACTATTAAAACTACAACGTACTGGGCCCCAAGGATACCCTAGAGCATAAGACACAGTGCCTGCACTTAAGAGACAAACAACCTAATTAGAAAGAAAAGACCTGAATGCAAAATACATGTAACAGACTAAAGAAGGTCATATTGTGTCAAAATGACAGAGACCACGAAGGTCAGAAATGTTTCATGAAGGAGTAATCAGTAAGCCCTGTGTGGTCAGTGAGCATCACCTGAGGTGTGACTTGAAGGAGTGTGTCACCCAGACAAACTCATCAAGAGGGAAAAGGCACATGGGGGAAGAAGCCCATTGCAGGTAAGATGTGGAAAAGGAAGCAGCAGACTCTATATCTGAAGGATGAACGATGAGAATTACCCCAGTTTGGTTCTGAAGGAGGATGATCTGGAAGAGTTTAGCTGGAGAACTGGGCAGAGGGCAAACTGTTTGGATGCCAGGTACATACCCAGTGAAGTCTTCTGGCAAACCTGGTAGCTTCAGTAGAATTACAGAGGGAGATGCCTGAGTCAATTAGGTTGGGAAGTAAATGATATGTGGGGAAGTAGCTCCACAGGGAGAAGTTTGGAAGGTAAAGTAAAGAAAGGGAAGAGGTGACCCAGTGAAGTCTTCTGGCAAACCTGGTAGCTTCAGTAGAATTACAGAGGGAGATGCCTGACTCAATTAGGTTGGGAAGTAAATGATATGTGGGGAAGTAGCTCCACAGGGAGAAGTTTGGAAGGTAAAGTAAAGAAAGGGAAGAGGTGGAAGCTCAAGGAGAGAGAGGGCTGAGATTTTTGGGGGTTAGAGAGAATGATGGGCATATTTATAGACTGAAGAGAAGGAGCCAGTGGAAAGGAAGACTTTTAAGTTTAGAGTTTAAAGGGGCTCCCGGTTAAGATGGCGGAAGAGACAGTCTCCAGTGTCACACTCTCCCACAAATCAACCAATTTACAACTATTAAAAAGCAATGACAGCCAAGCTGGGGCCACTAGAACTCAGGGGAAGAGGAGAAGAGACCTAGGGAGTACATGAAAGCAGGAGAAGCCACAATGACAGAAAGGACTGCCTCTATCATTTTGAATCCAGGCTGCTTCAAGGCTGGAGCTGGTGAGTACAGAGCAAGAGCTGGCAAAAGCCACAGCTGTGCCCTTCAGATGAAGTTGTTTGGAGGCTGCAGGAAAGAAGATGGCTTTGGTGGCCCCCAGGCCAGCTAGACCACTAACAGGGTTCCCATGGACCCACAGAGGACCTAGGAGCCACAACAACAGAAAAAAGAAGCCACTCAGAGGCCAGCAAAGAGGCCAGTGAGTCACTGAAAGGGACCAGTGCATGGTCCATCCCATGGGAAGTATTTGGAATGTGGGGGGATGGTGGAGACCAGCCCACTGGGGGAACACTCGGGCACAGAAGGACAGCTGATCTGCCCTCCAATCAGCACAGGCCCACTATATGTAGACTGTCAGGAATATAGAACTGCAGGGAGTACAGTTTGCTGAAAAGACTCATGCCCAGACCAGAGTTTCTACACAACCCAGGTGTACTGGATCTCATGAGACTTGAAAGTACCTATAATATCAACCATTAAAACCTGAGCTGCACAAAAAGCCTTCCCCAGGGAATCAGCAGCAAAGCAGCAATTTAGCTCAACTACTGGGCTTAAGTGCTGGTCCCCACAGGAAGTTCCCCCATTTTAGAAGCAAGCAAAGGACAACAAATTAGTCCCAGTGCAGAGTTTAAGTGGTGGGAACAGCAAATAATCCAACACAGAACTGAAATTAAAAATAAAACACCCACAGAACAGACACAAAGTTTGATGTTAACTAGTGAAGGTCTCACATCACCAAAGAACACTTATAAAACCAAGAAGGACCAGAAGCCCCTGGGCTCACAAGTCGGGGAGCAGGGAGAGCTGGGGATCTCAGCCATGCCCCCAACACCTGTAACCAGCCCAGCAACTACCACGAGACCCCACAGGAAGCATCCTGGGCTCCTAAGCTGGGACAGTGTGGGTGCCGAGGGCCTTGGCCATGCCCCCCTGACACCCACAACCAGCCCAGCAATGACTACCAAGCTGTTGCAGGAAGCAACCTGGGCTCCCAAGCCAGGGTGTTGGAAGGACAAGGGCCTCAGCCACACCCCCCTGACATCTGCACCCAGCTCAGTAATGACCAAGACACTGCTGGAAGTCCCCTGGTCTCCCCTGAAGGAATGAGGGGGCTGCCACAGGCCTCAACCATGCCCCTCCTTCCTCCCCCCTTCCTACTTCCTTCCCCCTCCCCCTGTCCCTCTTCCCCGCAACTGCTCTGCAACAACTCTTAGAATTAAAAAAAAAATATTAATAAACAAATAATTTTTTAAAAAAAGATACGAGAAGAGGGGGCAATTGCTGGACAAATGATATAAAGATATCAGAAGTTAAGATGGTTAAAAAAAAAAGACAGCAGAAGAGTAGTCAGGACATAGGCAGCTTACTACCTGGGAATGGTGTCTAGAACACCACTGTGCCATGAAAGCCAGTACTTCAAAGAAAAATGTCGCCACGTCCCATTCTCCCATGACACTGCAGGATCAAGGATTCCCCTCCCTGCAGCTGGCATCAGGTGTGGGCTTTCCAGAGGTAGACACGGGGAAGTGTGGGCAGACAGCAATGGAAGAGAAAATAGATGAGAAGGGACAGTGGCATCATTGGTACCACAGTACAGGATTTTTCTTCCTTTGCTTCTGCTGCTGGGATTAGGCAGTGGCAGGACACGAAAAGTGATGACAGGAGTCCTTTACTGACCTTCCTTTCCCTTCCTCTTCTGAGTCAGCAGGCAGAGAAGAAGGACCACATCAAGGAGAAAGGGATGAGGAACCTTGGTGAGGGGCTGCTTTCTAGCCCCTTCTCCTTCCCTCCCTTCCGTATGCGGTGCATGGCCGTGGCCCAGTGCTGGTGTGTGTGAGGGTCAACAAGGGCAGGCGGGATGGCTGGCAGCAGATGTGGCATCAGTGCATGAGCAAAACTCAGGGGAACATCTGCTGTCACAAGCTAGAGAAGCAGTTTCATCAACTGTCTGGCTGGGCAGCCACTGCTTCCAAGATGCTGTGTGCCTATGGTTTTTCTAAGCTGTATGTCTGAGTAACCTCTCTTCTATCAGAACACACAATTAGTTGTACAGAAAGGTGGAAATTTAACATCTAAGCCAAGGATACTTCTCTGAACTTCATGTCACAGAGAAAATGCCCTTGGATCATCCTTTCCTGTTGATCTCTGATGTTTTTGGATCTCCCAGAGCTTTTATTCTCTAGATTAGAGGTTGGCAAACTGTAACCCATGGATAAAATCCAGCCCACCACCTGTTTTTGTACAGTCATTGAGCTCTGAATAGTCTTTACAGATGAACATTTGCAATTTGATGATAGGGAACACTAACTTTGAGCCCCAATTAAGTTAAATGTTATGTCCCCCCAAAGAAAATGTCATTCTTCCCACTGGAAGATCTATAATACAAAAACTATGTTCAATTTATTATTATATTTTATATTTCATAAATAAAATTATACAGAAAACAAATTTTTTTTGACATTTGTTTTTGCTCTTATTGTACCTGAACCTATACAATATCCTCAGTGCAACCTTTCTGCCCATGAAACACAAAAGATTTCCCACCTGGCCCTTTACAGAAAAAGTTGCCAATCTCTGCTCTAGACTTTTAACCCCCCTTCCATGTGCAGGACTCCCTTGGGGGAAAAGGAAGAGCTGGATTTCAGTGTCTACAAGGTGTCTCAAACAGGGCTGAGAGGGCTCAGTGCATGAAAAGAATTATGTGTAAAACCCAAAGTGGTCAATCCAGTCTAACAGAGGCAAGAGAACTGAAACAGAATCAAGAGAAGAGGGGGAAGGGTGAAAGGAAAGGAATAGTAACTCCAGGCGGAAGGGTGAATAGAAGTGAAGTCACATGCTATGCGATGCTTGATACAGCTCCACCTTGATCAAAGAATTCCACCACAGACAATAGAGTGCAAATTATTACAGCAAGAAACCAAAATAAGCACCATTATTATGTCTAGGAAAAACACTCAACAAACAGATTTTCTTTTATATTAATAATTAGGACAATCAGCTTTACAGGCAACAATAATTCACTAAATCAACACATTCAACTTATTTATCAAAATATATTGCAGCGATCCATTAAAGATGAAAGCTTTCTAGTAACAGTGTATTCACTAATATACTAACAGTAATTTTCTACTTTCAGCTATTAGCTGCATGATGTTATCATTTGCTCCCTTTTTCAGCATTAGTAAAAAAATTCAAATGGAATTACTACATCAACTATAAACCTAAGCATGCAGAAAGCTATTTTAATCAGCCATATATAAATTATTCCCTAGTGTATGAATAAATACCTTAACCTCCCGAAGGTTCATGCATTCCTCCCAGGAATAAAACTTTCTTTTCATTCTAAAAGAGAAGAAACAAACAGCACATTTACTCCCAGTAACAGGCTAAACTTTTTTTTTTTTGATGGCTGGCAAGTAAAGGTATGGGAACCCTCGACCTTAGTGTTTGTTATTAGTATCATGCTCTAAACAACTGAGCTAACCAGTCAGCCTAAACTTTATTTTTTTAAAATGTTTTCATTTTGAACCTAATGAACAGTGCTTACAGTTGCTTTTGATTTCTATCAAATATGTTGTACTATACTATCCAAGACAGTACTTATTTTAAAAGCTAGCAGTGCAATCCCAAAGTCATAAACTACCCCAGCAGTGGAGGTGTGGTGCAATACAACGGGGCCTGCACTGCTCTCTGCTCTCCACTAATTAGCCAACTTGCCCTGGAGGGAAATCCTTCAGGCTTATTCTGTCTAGACCAGAGCCGTCCAGTAGAACTTTCTGTGCTAGTGGAAATGTTCGGTGCTATGCAGTATGGTAGCCACTAGACACATGTGGCTGTTGACCACTTGGGATGTTGCTGAATATAAATTTAATTAAGTTTATGTTTAAATTTAAATGCCACATATGGTTACTTGCTACTATATTGGACAGCACAGTTCTAGACCCTCTGGTGCAGGGTCAGCAAACTATGTTGGGGTTTTTTGTTTTGGTGGCTGGCCAGTATGGAGATCCGAATCCTTTAACTTGGTGTTGACCTTAGTGTTATCAGCACCACACTCTAACCAACTGAGCTAAACAGCCAGCCTCCTTGGTCGGCAAACTATGGACCATGGGCCAAATCCACCCCACCATCGGTTTTTATGCAGTTCACAAGCTAAGAATGGCATTTATATTTTTAAATGGCTGGGGAAAACAAATCAAGAAAAGAATACTACTTTGTGATATGTGAAAACTATATGAAATTCAAATTTCAGTTTCCATGAATGAAGTTCTATTGGAACACAACCACACTCATTCATTTTATATTGTCTGTTGCTGCGTTCACACTACAACAGCAGAACCAAGTTGGTGCGACAGAGACCATATGGCCTGCAAAACTTAAAACATTTACTGTCTGGCCCTTTACAGAGAAAGTGTGCCAATCCCTGGTTTAGAGCCTGAGGGGAGAGAAAAAAAAATCCTACTAGTTAATCAAAAATCCAAGTTTCAAGGTTATATTTTTCAATGCATTTCCAACATGTTTCTTACTTGAGTCTGACAGTGGCCCTATGAGACAGATGGGACAGGTGAGGAAACTAAGATACAGACAAGGTCTCTCTACTAGCTACTAACAGACCAATTTCCATCTCTCCACCTCATTCTGACACTCTGTCCAGGTGACGTATTTCCTGGTTGAGTGATCAATTATTTTATTCATTCTGCAAATATTATTTAGCCAGCCTATGTGGTAGATGCTTTGTCAGGCACTGGACATACAATGATAAGAAAGACATCCCTCATGGAATTGACATCATAGCAGGAAGGCAGACAATCATTCTCTGTACTAAGTGCTATGCAGAAAAGATACAGGGCTCTATGAGAATGTACCTCAAATGGACCTAATCTAGTCTGGGGAATCAGGGAATGCTCCTCTAATGAAGTGATATTTCAACCAAGACCTGAAGGACAAGTAGAATCTGGCAAGGTGGGAGGCATGGAGTGGGTAATACCAACCTTTTCTGGCCAGAAAGGTTATTGGTGAGTTCAAGAAGCTGAAAGGCCACAGAGACTGGATCAAAGTAGGCAAGAGGATAGTGACAGGAGACAAAGCTGAAGAAAACAGGCAGGGGCCAAATGATGTAGCAATTTGTAGGTCACATTAAAAATTTGAGGCTACACTGAGGTCAAGGGCTCGGATCCCTATATCGGCTAGCTGCCAAAATATAAAAAAATTAAAAAATAAAAATTTAGGGCTTGTTCCTAAAACTGATAGCTATCTTAGTTTGAATTTCCCCCAAAGCAGAACCTGAGGCAAGGATCTGGGTGCAGGTAGTTTATTTGGGAGGTGATTCCAGGAAGCCAGGGCAAGGAGCAAATTAACTGGGAGGGTGGGGTGGGAAACTCAATAAAGGGTACATGACTGAACTGATACCAAGGTGAGCAGCTGGGGTCAAGCCCGTTGGAGGCCTTTTAAGGAGCTGGGTAGAACATACCTCAGCTGAGTCATCCAGGTGCAGTTGAGGTGGGATGCTGGTGGTGGGCACAGAACTGTTCACCACAGCTGCACTGAAGTCAGATAGGACAAGGGGATGTGATGAGACAGTGGGACATAAGGAATGTGTGGCACAAAGGATTTGGGTAGATTAGACCTGTATGTTTAAGATAATCCCTTCAGTCTGGTATGAACAGGGAAAAGAATGGAAGCCAGGCGCCCTACAGAGGATCTAGTGTTTGAGGTAGTAAATAGGCTGAATGGGAGGTTAGCAGTGGGAATATGGAGAAGTAGGTGGGTCAGATAAATATTTAGTAGAATCAACAGGACTAGATAGGCAAAGCGGGGTGGGAAGGCAGGAGAACTGTAAGATTTTAAGGGATGGTATTGTCATTTATCACAATAGGGAATACTGAGGAAGAAACCAGTTTGGCACAAGAGAGGGACACTATGCTGAATATGAGTTCAGTTTTGGACATGATGAGTTTGAAATGTTGCAGGGAATTCAAATGGAAATGTTGATAAGGCAACTGGATATAGATGAGTGTAGCAGGCAGACTCTAATATAGTCCGCAAAGACTTCCTACCTCCTGATATTCACAACCTGTATAACCCCCTTCTTCAATGACTTGCATCTAATAGAATACAGCAATTTGAGATGTCACTCCTGTGATTAGTTTACAAAAGCAAAAATATATGACTTCCATCTTAGTAGAAGACTCTCTCATTGCCTTCTTGTCTCCCCTGTCTTGATGAAACAGGTTGACATGTTGTGATCTGCTCTTTGGAGAGGCCCACATGGCAAGGAACTGAGGGTAGCCTCCCACCAACAGCCATCGGGGAACTGAGGTCCTCAGCCCAACACCCACAGGGTACTGAATTCTGCCCACAGTCATGTGAGTGAGCTTGGAAGTGACTCCTTCCACAGTCCTGCCTTCAGATGAAACCCCAGCCCTGGCCGACACCTTGACTGCAGTCTCATGAGAGATCCTAAAACAGAGAACTCAACTAAGCTGTGCCCAGACTCCTAACCTACAGAAACTGCGAGATGATAAATGCGTGTTACTTTAAACCACTAAGTCTTAGAGTAAATTGTTACACAGCAACAAATAATTAATGCAATGGGTCTGGACTTAGATTGCAAAGAACAAATGGGGTGGGGGGAACAAGACAGCAGTCCCAGACCACCACACATATAAATGACCCAAACTAAGTCACTTAATTTCTCAGAGTTTGTTTCCCCTCCTGTAATACGCTGTTTATTAACCTACTCGTTACTACCTCACAATATGAGAAAACTTTGAAAAGGAACTAGTGCTATATGCAAAGTAATAAGTCTAAAGTGGGAATGTTCTTAAGACCTCTAACATGAGCACACAGAAATCATCTAAGGTTCTCCATGCCTCTCCCCTTTAGAAATGTTTCAAAAACAGGGAATGGCCAGGGTAGAGGTAAAACTATCTTGACAATGTGTGGTTGAGGATGAATTAATGAGAGTGAGGGATAAAGCTTACTTTTTAATAGCAATCAGTTCCCCAGACTCAATGCTTCTTCCCAGCAGGACGGAACCATAGGTTCCATCCCCGAGCTGCCTGATTGTCGTGTATCTATTCATGGTGTACCCGCTGAGGCTGGACACTCATCTCAGGGCCGAGGCGGTTCAGTCCTGCAGTGACAGCAGGCCTCCCCAGAGTGTAACCAGATTTTTCGATGGCAGCACCAGCACAAGGCATTTAACAGAACGTGACTATCTCCCAAATACATATTTTCAAAGATCAATCTTCTGCCTGTAGGGAAAAAAGAGAGACAAGAATAAATGCTAATGTACACTTTGACTTTGTGTATTTTTATAGTCTAAATCAGGGGTCAGTAAACTACACCCCCAGCCTGCCACCTGTTCTCGTAAATCAAGTTGTGTTGGAACAGAGTCACACCCACACATTCAGCAGAGCCAAGAGATGCTGTATGGCCTGGGAACTCTATCTGGCCCTTTACAGAAAGGGTTTGTCAACCTTTTCCAATTTTTTATAAAACTATAGATATTGTACTTGCGAAGTGAATTTGTCACTGACTCAGAAATGAATCAGCTCCAATTCAATGCTTTTCTGCTGACTAACCATCCTAGGCAAACTCTGCATGATAAGTATGGTCGACGAAAATTGCTGAGCTCCAAAAATCTGTGCTAAATATACTGTGTTCTCTGCACTTCAGCTATGTTGAACAATGCAAACATACAAAAGCCAAGAAATGGTAAAATTAAAGTTCTACTGACAGAGAACTTACATGTGCTCTGTGCACTATTTGTGGCTATCTATCAACAGTATTATTTTTGCTATTAGACATTCAGAAGCTAACCAAAGAACTAGTAATTCAATGGCTATGTGTAGGGTGTGCCCACTTTTAAAGTCATTTACTTGTGTGTTTTTTAAAATAAGTCATTGATTTTTCATGTATGTAATTGAGAGTCATTTGGGCTGCCAATCATAAACTGTAGTAATAACTTAAATGATTGTAATGCCTTTAGGCAAACATTGATAAAATGTAAATGCTTAAAGAAGAACAATAGAGGCATTTTTTTTAAGTATGGCTGTTAAACTAATCTGAAGAATCAAAAGACCAGAAAATAATGATTGAAAGGATGTGACATTCTGCATCCAGTCTATGCAGCTTCTCCTTCCAGGAGAATTCTAGTATACATGCAGAAGGAAAAAGGGAAATAAAATATAGAAGGAAAAACGGAAATTCACTATTAGGCAAACACCACAGTAAGATTTGTTGCAGGCAAGGTTTTCTGATGGATGTAAAAATTAGTGAATGAAAGTTTAAGGAGAAACAGGTTATTTACATGGTATCGAAGTACCTCTAAGATAAGAAATATTTTACTTTTATAAGTTTTATAAACTTCATGGAGAAAGACGGTAACTTCACAGGAAGAAATCCAGCAGAAACCTCATTATCCAAGTGATCGAGTTCAACATCACCATTAATGAGATATGACTTAAGTACTCTGGATGTGATACACTGAGAAGGGCACATTACTCCTGGGGTGTTCTTGTCAAAAATGCAGCCCACTCATGAGAAAACATCAGACAGGCTCAAAATGAGGGACATTCTACAAACAACTGACCAGTACTCTTCAAAAGTATCAAGATTGAGGACAGGCTCAAAATGAGGGACATTCTACAAACAACTGACCAGTACTCTTCAAAAGTATCAAGATCATGAAAGACAAGGACAGAAAGTATCAAGATTGAGGAACTGAGGAACTGTCACACATTAGAGGCAATTAAGGAGGCATGGCAATTAAATGCAACCTGGCATCCTAGACAGGATCCTGGACCAGAAAAGGACATTAGTGAATAGTTGGTGAAATCTGAATAAGGTCTTTAGTTTAGTGAATAGTATTGTCCCAGTGCTAATTTCCTGGTTTTGACCATTGTTCTGTGGTTATATAAGATGTTAATATTAGGGGAGCTGGGTGAAGGTTTCTAGGAACTCTGTACTATTTTTGCAAATTTTCTGTAAGTATAAATTAGTTCAAAATTAAAATTTAAGAAATAAATTCATACTATGTCCTTCTGAAGGCTGTGCGTGAGCTTGAGAAACCTTAAGAGAGAATAAAGTTTTATGCCTGATTTCACCACACTCTATTACACAACTGAAAGAGCTTTTGAGACCAAGCTTGCCCCACCCAAGTAGCTCATTCCCCTTCTCCACTTTAAGGCTCCTGGTTAGAAAGGCATTTTCCTTCCTCTTGAAACTCTTCAGGATCAGACTCCCTACAACTTCCTTCAGCAGCTCATTACAGTGATACACTCCATTGCTGATTAATAAATATTTATAAAGCACCTCCCGTGAGACAGATGGTATGTTTAAGCTCTGCGGATACAAAGAGCAATAAAATATGGTCCTTTCTTTCAAAGAGCTTAGAGTTTCATGGCAGGGGATGAAGGTGATATATTGTGGGTAAGGGACAGATATGTACTCATGAATACAAACTAAGACATTTGAAGTATGCGCGGGGTATAGATGTTGGAGAGAGTAAGGAGAAAGTCTCCTGGCTTCCAGCTGAGTCAATTACATCTGGACTTATGAGGGCAGTAAGAAAAGTGTTCAGAAAAGACTGACTCTTGAAAGAAAAAGAAAAGTAGGTGGTTTGTATAGCAAATGGGGTACTAGCACTCCAAGGAGCAGAAATGAAGGCACAGGGACTTAAACTTGAGGTGGGGGAGGAGCTCGGAACTGGAAAGAGATAATCTTAGATTTTTATTTGTGGAGGACCTCAGAGGTCATTTTTAAAAACATAAGTTTTGACTAGATTCTGTACTGGAGGAGAAGAAAATGCTAATGATAATGCTAATAATAATAATAATATCAATCATAAATAAATGCTATATAAAATAATGTCTAACAGTAGACACTACTTGGTCAATGGAAACAATTGAAATATGGATGGTAGATTAAAAAAATATTGTATCTGTGTTAAATTTACTAAAGTTGATATGTCTCCTGTAGTTCAGTAAAATCACAGTCTTATTCTTGGAAAATACGCCCTGAAGGATTTACAGGTAAAGGACCGTGACGTAAGCAATTTATTATTAAGTGAACAGAACAAAAATTTGTGGGGAGGGATGGAGAACAAATGGGGTCAAATAATAATAATAGACATATCTGGGCAAAGAGTATGCTATGGACTAAATTGTTTTTCCCCAAAATTCATGTTAAAACTCTAAACTCAAATGTGACTGTATTTGGAAATAGAGCCTATAAAGAGGTAATTAGGTTAAATGAAGTCATAAGAGTAGGGCTCTGATACAACAGGATTAGTGTCTTGCACCCACCCTAGTCCCTGGCCCCCCACCATGCAAGGACCATCTACAAAGCAGGAAGACAGCCCTCACCAACAGATACCAAACCCTTCTGGAATATTGGTCTTGGACTTACCAGCCTCCAGAATTGTGAGAAAATAAATTTCTGTTGTTTAAGACACCCCGTCTATGATAATTTGTTATGGCAGCCTGAGCAGACCAAGATAGGGTATATGGCTATTCTTTGTACTATTCTTGCAACTTTCCTATATATCTGAAATCATTATAAACAAAAGTTTTTAAAATTTGCCTCAAAATGGTAAAGAAAAGGAATCTTTACAAAGGTAGATAGATGCATCTTAAACATTTTATTTTAGCTTTAAAACATACAAATTAGATTTATTTAATATTAAGTCATTCAGAAGACAGAATGCTATCATACAACATCATTTCTCCACTTAATGATTACTGTATTGTGGACTGTTTTGGATTTAGGCTGTGCCTCAACATAACATAAAAAGAGAATCTGGGCCACAGCACCAGCAATTCTGGCTCTGCATTTGTCTTCCTCTTTTTCTTCTTCACATTTATCATCTGTATTTTGATATAGCAAATATGAATTCTGCATCATTCATAATTTCATTTTCCAACAGATTGCATCCCAAACTATTTTTGTATGTCATCTTCCTAAAAAAATCACTAGAACCTTGATTTGTCAAAAATCAGCTAAAAAACAGCATTCTTTAGTTTTTTTTTTAAAAAGTAGGCTTCATCCTAAGAGATAATGGGAAGTAAATTAACATGTTTAACATGATCGGATTTGCATTTTGTAATCCAGTTAGAATATTTTTCTTCATGTCTGTGAGGGTTAATTCTAGGTGTCAACTTGATTAGATTAAGGAATGCTGAGAAACCTGGTAAAACTATCTTTTTGGGTGTGTCTATGAGGGTGTTTCCAGAAGAGATTAGCACGACAGCCTGAGTGGACTGGGTGGGAAAGGTCCATCCTCAATATGGGTGGGAACCATCCAATCTTCTGGGTGCCTGGAGAGAACAAAAAAACGGGGAAAAAAGGCAAATCTCTCTATCTGCTGAGCTGGGATATACTCTTCTCTCCTGTCTGTGGACACCAGAGCTGGAGACTCTTCAGCTTTTGGGATCCAGGACTTACACCAGGGACAGCATCAGCTTCCTTGGTTTTGAGACCTTCTGGACTTGGACTGAGCCATGCTACTGGCATCCAGCTTGCAGACAGCCTACCATGGGACTTTTCTTCACAATTGCGTAAGCTAATTCCCCTAATAAATCCCCTCTCACATATTTATAACAAATCCTATTTATTCTGTCTCTCTGAAGAACCCTAACACAATGTCCAACCAAAACTTGCCTACTTTAGTTTATGCTAATTTCCTCATGCTTAGTTTTTCGGGGGATATAAAGAAACCAAGTCATAAAAATGTGTATGCACATGAAATTAGTAATCAAGTGTGTGTCTCTTGACCGTCTCCTGTCTTAATTACACAACCTTTCCTCACAGGACCCATTTCCCATTCCTTTAATTATCTTTGGCATTCATCTCTAAATCCTCACACATTTCAACATCTCTTTGATGAGCTATGGTGACCAAAACTTAATAATGATCTATATTATAGTAGTACGTGGGTCCCCCCCCCCCTTTTTTTTTTTTTTTGACAATGGCATTATACTACTGGTTCAGATCTATCAATAATTAATCACAGTAGTCTTTCTTTGATAATGTCCCACTATTTCCTCACCCACTTAAACTGTATAATTGGAACAGTGCTTTCCTAGATTACCACTGAGAAAGCTGTCTGTGAAGGAATTAAGAGCTTTATTGAAATAAAGACAGACTGGGTCATTCATTCAACACACAGTCACCCTGACAATTCCTCCTTGTTACAGTTTGTCATATTATCAAGGAATGAAATTCAATTCCTCTGGCAAGATTTGACTCACACCACACCATAGTAGTTGCTTGCTAATGTCTTATGTTATTTTGGGTGATTACACAATGATTGCACATCAGATCAGACTAGTGTCTCTTCAAGCACTGGTGTCAGGTTGAGAGTGTGTAATTCTATTCAGCCTTTACTGAGATGCTAAGTATTATACAAGGTTTTGGGGCACATCATGGATAATGTAATGATCTTTAAGTCACAATTGACATGTATCAGGTTGAGAGTGTGTAATTCTATTCAGCCTTTACTGAGATGCTAAGTATTATACAAGGTTTGGGGGCACATCATGGATAATGTAATGATCTTTAAGTCACAATTGACATGTATGTGAAAAATACAGAAAGGGCTATGAGGACATAGAGAGAGCAACTAACTCTTGGGAGAAGGGAAGAGATCTGACAACCCTTCAAAGGAGTGGTGGTACTGAGGTATTGAAAAATGAGCAAGGTTTTATTACACAGAAAAGGAGAGAAGGAATTATGGGCAGAGAAAACTGTGCAAAATGTTGACGAGTACATGAACTTGGTATATTCACAAAAGGACAAAAGCCTCGTGGTTCTTACTGTGGCTGAGCATTAGAATCACCTGGAGAACATTTAATATCTACAAATGCCCAGCCCCACCCGCAAGAGGACCAGTCCACAAGAGGGTGGGGACTGAGCTTTGATAGTTTTAAAAGCATTCCAGGTGATTCTAATGTGCAGCCAGTGTGGCTGGCCGGTTAGCTCAGTTGTTAGAGCACAGCCTTATAACACCAAGGTCATGGGTTTGGATCCCCATACCGGCCAGCTGCAAAAAAAAAAAAAAAAAAAAAGTGCAACCGAGGTTGAGAAGTCCAGGTCTACAGCATAAAACCAAGGAAGGGCAGTGGGCAAATGGCCTGAAATAACTAGACTGTTAGGGTGGGGCCCAATTGTTAAGAGATATGTCATGCAGGGGTTTGATCCTTATCCAGCAGAAGCTCTTCAGAGTGTCTGAGCAGAGAAAACAGCATGAAGAAGATCCCTCTGGAGACTGAAAAGATGTTAGAATTGAGAGACTAAAGGCAGAAAGACTAGTTAGGAGGCCACTGCACATATCCAGGTGAAATATGATAAAGGCCTGAACAAAGGCACTGGACTGGTTGACTCTTAGATACAGCAGGACATACAGGTTTGGGATAGGTAATGTGTGCATTTGTTATTTGGACAATGTGCAGAGACATGGGTTCTGTTTTCTCGGGTGTTGAATCTTTCATTGGAGATGCTCAGTACAACTGCTAATACCTCTAATGTTCTATTTTTTCCCCCAAAGATAGCACATTATTAGAGAACTTATAGGAAGATAGCACTTACACAAGGCTGCTACATTGCACGGCTCCAGGGTACACATGGAACACAACGTGAATGATGCCCAATGGAGTTGTGCAATGTAACATCCCGGGGTTCAGAACAAGGGGCATCATAGTCCCATCGACACCTGAATTCTTGTTCAACTCTGGATGCCAAACTTCAAGAAAGATGTTATAGAACGTAGTGAGGGGCCTGAATGAAAGCACGAAAATAGTAGTTGAAGAAACACAGGATGCTGGAAGCAAGAGAGACTTGGGAAGCCATGACAACAGTTTCAAGTATAGAAAGGGATATCAGAGAGAAGGATTAGTTGCACTATATATATAGATCCATGGAACAGAACCTATGTAATCTGTTGAAAACATTCGCCTGGACAGGAGAGATAAAGATGGCGCCTGACGGAAGCTGCTGGGGAGTGGCCAAGGAAAGACATACTTTAAAATTACTGGATAAAAGGTATTTCCGTGCTTGTGCTCACCACGTGATTGCAATAGCAAAGTATTAGAGCAAGATGCATGTTCACATGACCTTTAAGATGATAGGTTGAAATTAGGAAATCCCCTTGCCATATGCTTATAAAAGCAGGTGCTTGTGTGAAAATAAACAGAACTGCTTGACGGAACCCCTGCTGCGTCTGAGTGTCTCTCTGTGGGCTGAATAGGCGGGCAGCATACTCAGCTTCCTCCCGGGCTCTCCTGGCCACTAGGCTGGCAGGAGTAATCCTACCGGTTCCCTCTCTTGCTCATCCCACAATATTTTAGGAGTAGTGCATGAATCTTTAGCTAAGGTTAGAGAAAATTTAGAAAAGCGCAAAAGAGAATGAGAACTCAGGCAAGTTGGTTTCAGTCATGGTTTAATAATTCTCCTTGGCTCACAACCTGGCAGGTCCCGTTGTTATCCTCTGTTAGCAGTAACAATTGGCCCATTGGTGCTTATCAAAATAATTAACCTTATATGGCATAATGTGGGGTCTATCACTATACTCACCCAAGTGGTAGACGAGGTGGCCCAAGAAAAGAAACCCTCTAACCCACGGGTAAATATGGCCCTCCAGAAAATTTATTCCAGATACTAAAGAGTTCCCCCAGACCTCTGCTTGGTTGGATAGTCAATGACGGGTAACATCCCCAGAGGGGGACAACCTAAGACAGGCACAACCACTTGAGGCTGGCGAGGCTGTGAGGTTAGCCGCCTACAGCTGCTCATAAAAAACAAAAAGGGGGACCTGTTGGGGCATTGAGGCCACACACCTCCTCCCGAGGCAGAGAACTAGCCACGACCCCACCCACATATGCGTATGTAATCTGTTGAAAACATTTGCCTGGCAGGAGAGATAAAGATGGTGCCTGACGGAAGCCGCCAGGGAGTGGCCAAGGAAAGACATAGTTTAAAATTATTGGATAAAAGATATTTCCATGCTCATGCTCACTGCGTGATCGTAATAGCAAAGCATTAGAGCAAGATGCACGTTCACATGATCTTTAAGATGATAGGTTGAAGTTAGGAAATCCCCTTGCCATATGCTTATAAAAGCAGGTGCTTGTGTGAAAATAAACAGAACTGCTTGACGGAACCCCTGCTGCGTCTGAGTGTCTCTCTGTGGGCTGAATAGGCGGGCAGCATACTCAGCTTCCTCCCGGGCTCTCCTGGCCACTAGGCTGGCAGGAGTAATCCTACCGGTTCCCTCTCTTGCTCATCCCACAATATTTTACCCATAAGTCATTCCATTGAGACCTCAGTCCATAAGTAGAAGACAGTTTCTACTGTTGTATTCCTTTAAATTTGGTACAAAAGCCAACTATTGTCTTTTCTATGGTTGCAAAATGTACTCATATTTATGTTGCGTGATATAGAAATATGTGAAATATTTATTTTTATAGAAGTATATAACTTTATTTTATAGAAGTATATTCAGACACAGGAATATCTGAAATATGCTCAAGAAGTTAAGTATCAACAAAGCATCACTCAAGTGAAAAATTAAGTATAAGGTACTATGTTTAGTACTGAGGTGCAGGTGATAGATCTGGCCTCTGGGAACTTCTCATTGAGCTGACAAAGTAAAATACACGTAAATGACCAGGAGAGATGGCAGTTGAGGTATGTTACTGGAAGAGTGGGGACAAGAGTGCACAGGAAGAAGTTGCTCTGTGGATCACTAGCTAGGAATCTAAACGAAGGCTCTGGGCCACTGATCTCTAAATAATGGCTAACTTCTCTTGTTAAGGGCATGTCATTTATCCATATTCTGATCCATGTATCACTGTCAAAAAATAATTTTTTTAAAGTGTAAAAAGTTTTTCTTACCAGCTGTATTAGTTTCCCATGTCTGCTATAACAAATTTCCACAAACTTGGTGGATTAAAAGAACAGAAATTTATTCTCTCACATTTCTGGAGGCTAGAAGTCCAATACCAGTGTCAGTGGGCCAAAAATCAAAGTGTTGCCATTTCCTCCAGAGTCTCAAGGGGAAATTCATTACTTATTTCTTCCAGCTTCTGGTGGCTGCCAGCACTCCTTGGCTTGTGGCCATATCACTTCAATCTCTGCCTCCATGGTCACATTGTCTTCTCTTGTTCTATCTTCAAACCTCCCTCTGCCTCTCTCTTAAAAGGATTTGTGTTTGCCTTTAGGGCCTACCCAGAAAATCCAGGACAATCTCCCCATCTCAAATTCCTTAATTTAATCCCATCTGCAAAATCTATTTTGCCATATAAGGTAACCTGCACAGGTTCCAGGGATTAGGACCTGATATCTTTGTGGATTCTTGTTTAGCCTACCACTCTCCAACAAAACACCCCAAAGATTTTCATATATCGTCTAAATTACAGCAGCAGTGGTTTGCATTCATTCAAAGTTGAGTGTTTTAGGAATGAAATCAGAAATCTATACTTACTTACCCAAGGAACAAAGGCATTCCTTTTTGAAATATAGAGTATTTTCTCTCTAACTTTGCATGATGGACCAGACTTCACAATTCTCACCTCAAATCTCTAAATACCTGACATTAGCATATGGAGATTCCATTATGTGTGGACCAGAGGCTGTGAACTAGCAGTCTGCGGGCTGAATCCAGAGGTATGCTTTGAGTCTGTTTTTTAAAATTGGAAATTTCATATACAAATCCTGATTCAGGGCTTCTCTGGAAAAACTGAAGAGCTAACAACATGGGGTCTTTGGCTCTCAATGGTAACAAAAAGACAGACTTCGCACCTCTTTAGGCTGGGTACATGCTCTGAAGCTCGGCACAGCCCCCATCCTCTCTGTTGTCAGTTGCCATTTTTTTTTCAGTTGTCATTTTTTTTCTGCACCTTCACAACCACTTCTTTTCCTGGAAGAAAAATATTTCTCTTATGCCTCTATTAAAAGTGACAAAGTAAAAGCCTGAAAAAAAAATACCCTCATGTTTAAAGAAAAATTGTTCTTTTTTTTAAGAGAGCAATTTCTTACTGTTTGACAAGCACACACAAGGCTTTCTTGAGTCTTCTTCAGAAGAAAAATATTTCTCTTATGCCTCTATTAAAAGTGACAAAGTAAAAGCCTGAAAAAAAAAAACCCTCATGTTTAAAGAAAAATTGTTCTTTTTTTTAAGAGAGCAATTTCTTACTGTTTGACAAGCACACACAAGGCTTTCTTGAGTCTTCTTCGCTTCCTCTGTCCCAATAGTATTTAAATTCAGCTCCTGGTATAGACAGTTAACATTACCTGAGAAGTGAATGGAATGTAGTAGCCCGAGATTAACTTGGGAATTAGCATATTAGAACCAGAAGAACTTCCAAATATGCTGACTGACTCCAAGAATTAACTTGGATAAATCACTCACTATAACTAATCCACACTTTGCTTCTTACTATGTCAAATAAGCCAAAACTGTAACTTGTCCACAGTACTATTATCATCCTTCCCATTTCACAGATAAAGAAACTAAGACACAAGTTGCTTGTCCAGATTATACAACTTATGTGGTAGAATTGAGATAGGAACCCAGGCTGACTGTACCAAACTTACAGGAAAGGTCGAAAGATCATGAAATCTTTGGAGGGTCTGAGAATGAGAGGAATAGAAGTGCTTTGTATCTCAAAGTCCAAATATGGAAACCAGTAATGTGGCTGTGCTCTAGTTGGCTTCATTCTATAATCAAACATCAGTTAACCTACTGGGGCCCTCAGCAGCCCCAACATGCCCATGGTGGAAGTGAAGTGAATGCAACAAAGAAGCACTGGGTCCCAGTTTCCACTCAGCACTGACCCACTGTCACTCGGAGTATCTCTTGGCCCTTGGGTTTACTTTTGGTGGAATCAGGGCATTGGACTTGATGATGTAAGCTGGCTTCTTCCTCTAATGCTCTGTGATTCTGTATTAGGAATCAAGCTAGCATTTGTCTAAGAAAAGAATGGACAAATGTTTTTGCTTTTCCCATCACATGCACATAAGGCTAGTGTAGAAGACAGTGCCCCAAAGGAACCGTGTATGTTACACATCTCTCTTTCAAGAGAGGCAGAAGTGCCTCAGCCAGGCCCCAGAGTTAAGATTCAATTCCTTCTCATCACCTCTTCAGAGCCTCCTGCCTCAACCCACGCAGACACCATAGACAGGGATGCCACAGAGCTCTGGCCTCACCCCACTGCCTGCCTCTTCCCCGTGGTGAGTGACAGGAGGATCTGCCCTCTGCATCAGCCAGGTCACTCTCTACACTTCCTTCATCTTTGTGTTCTCAGACCTCACACTCTGCTTGCACAGAGCAGGGACTCAAAGATTGTTTCAGTGGCCCAAATGTGAATTTTAGTCTTTGCTATTTATTTTCTGTACTGCCTTGGGTAAGTACCTCAAAACTCTCAGTGCTTCTGTTCTTCAAGTGCAAAGTGAAGATAATCAAATTGTTTGATCTGACTAGAAATGTTTTGACATTCTGAAGCAGAAGAATCGCAAGTACCACAGAATGGCTGAAGCAGGCAGGCTGCCTGGGCCCCCCACAACAAAGCTGGAACTACTGTGTCTCAGAGGATCATAGGAAGGCCCCTCCATGCTAGCAGATCAGGCCTTTGGGTGAGGCTGTACCCAACTAACAGAGAAAGATGGCTTTAGCTCTCTTTCAAAGAGTTCCAGAAAATCTTTGAAATATGTCATGATTTTCCTGGCTAGGTGACATTGGGGAAAACCTCTGCTCCAATTCTCTCTCCTGGACTTCAGTCCTTGATGGAGGCAAAGAACATCTGCTTATGGCCAGGAGCTCATGATGGGCACCCTGCTCATTCATAGCCTGGAAGTCATAGGCAGGGAAGGGACAATGGTAGTCCGTTTTTTATTTTGAAACCTTGATGGTCATTGAATACAGGCCACCATGATGCATTTTTTTAAGACAGGGGATAGAAAATTATATGCAAACTTGGGACTCTCTGGGAGTTGTGGTTTACCAGGTCCCCTTACAACATTTGGACCCTTAGGAGGAGCTTGTCTCCCTTTGTCTTAATTGTTTTACACTGAAAAGTTTCCCGTACTGTCATGTATCCTCATAGGAAAACTGGATTATGTGCAAAAATCATTAAATGACCCTTCTCATGTTACTTCTGAGCTCCATTTTACCTTGACAGGCTTATAATTACACTTCAGATTCTAGGTTGGAATGTGTCACAACTTTATAACAGTAACTTAATAGTATTAATTTCTTTTAAAAGGGTACTAAAAATAGTACATCTCCCTGGGCCCTAATTCTTCTGGCCATATACATTTTAGTAAACAAATCTTTTAGGCATTTCGCCTCTTGGACCACTGCTTTTTTCTGCATTGGAAATAGCTACAAGGCCAAAAGAACTGTCCTTAACGTGGAACTTGCTTTGCCTTTACCTTGACAGAGGAGTGCATTAAAGATGCTTCCAGCTATTGCACCAACTGGATGACAGCAGGAGAAAATCATTTATATGGCGTGCCTTTGTCTATACCCCAGAAACTGCTTCGTGCCTTCATCTCCCTCTCCTCCTTCAGCCCTGGCTTCTGAGACAAGAACTCCTCCTGCACTAGGTCCTTAATCCCAAGAGAAGGGTCCACAACTTCGCACCGCTTCTCCTGCAGTACCAAAGGTGCTCATGCCTGAACTTTAAAAAAAACATCAATCACTTGCAGATGATTTTAAGCTAGGACATATAAGTGGCTTTTGTGGACTGTGAAGGATGGAAGGAAGAGCTAGAAAAGAATAACTTCACCCTGTCTTGTGTAAAACTGTGGATGAGCTAGAGCAAGAGCCCCCAGCTTACTGAAGACTATCAAGGGTGGCAATAGTCCCTGCTCCAACTGCTCACCTGATTGCCAGCCCACATTTTAGGGGTGGACAAGACAGGGTGAGGTGAAGATAAGGGGATTGAAAAAAATATATATATGTTTAAGCTCTATACAAATATTACAGCACAAGCTGGACAGTTACAGTTGTAACTGTACACAGTCTTGTAACACCAAAGTCATGGGTTCAGATCCCTGTACTGGCCAGCTACAGAAAAAAAAAAAAAAAAGAACCCAACAAAGAAACCCCACAAATATCACAGCACATTTAACTAAGGTGCTGATCTCATGTGGTATAAGATGCTTCACTATCACATATAATAAACAAATCAACAAATGTATTAAGGAAGAAATGGCTTAATATAAAAATAAAATAGAGCAGGTTTCAGCAAACTTTTTCTGTGAAGGGCCAGTAAATATTTTAGGCTTTGACGGCTATTCATCGCTGTCACAACTACTCAACTCTGCTGTTGAAGCATGAAAGCAGTCAGACAGTATACAAATAAACGGGTATGGCTATGTTCCAATACCAGTTTATTTACAAAAGCAGGTGGTGGGAAGGACTTGGTCCATAGGCCATAGTTTGTCAACCCTGAAACAGGAAACCCTGCAAGTGAGCAGAAACACTTTAGCACTCTCCACACAACCCTCATTTGCCCCTAGGTTACAGGGTTACATACACAAAACTGTGTTTATCCCTAGAATATAAGCTCTGTGAGGGCAAAAATTATGTTATGTTCACAACTGTATTCTCAGCTCCTGAAGGGGTCCCGGGCATCTAGTTGGCACAAATAGGTGCTCACTAAAAGGATGTGTTGAATGAATGAATGAGCAGCTTATGGATCTATAAAGGGTAATTCTGACTATAGGCGATTTTTCTGAACTACCAAGTCCACCCCCACTGCCACCCCATCTGGCCCCCTTTCTTTGCAAAAGTGGACAACTATATTGGGACTATGGCACAAAAATTATGAATCCTTCTAAAAACTAACACTAATTTAGGAAAACATTTTCTTTTCAACAGCTAAGATGACATGAAGGTATGTATATCTTACTTTTTTCTCATTTAGCTTTGTTTTAGCTAAATAATACTCTAATAAATTCACTTTCAAAGCAAAGGCAGTGTCTAAGAGAACAAACCATTAACAATTATCTGCTAGGAACTATAAGTTTATGCAAATAGTAACTTTCATGATAATATCATATATGTAGTTGGACATTAGACCATTATACTTTATCTCTTTGGTTCTGGGGCATTATCTTTTATAGTAGCTACAAGGGCAGTCACATGTTAGCAGCACTTTATCACAAGTCATACTTCACTACAGAAAGGTAAAAAATGACTCACACTGATCTCTCCTCAAAAACAGCCACCTCTGGGCCATAATTATACATTTATCAAGTGCCTACTGATGGTCCTCAGCATGGTAGGAGAAGTTCCAAATGAAATGTGAGGACTATTGAGGCCCTCCCACTTCAAAAAATTGAGTTAGGATGGCAAATGTCTTCTGGAAACTAAGTTCATGCAGATAGTAACTTTAAGGTTATTGTCAAATATAGTTGGTTATTACACCATAATACTTTCTTTTTGGTTCTGGGGAATTATTTTTTATAGTAGCCCTCAATAATTTAAAGTAAGATAATATATAACCAAATGCTAATTAGTGTAGATGTCAATGCTAAGTTCAAAAGGACCCAAGTTCAAAGCATAATGTTGAGGAATCTTCAGACTATAAAATTAGAATTTTTTTTTCTGTAAGGGGCCTTAATGATCATCCAACATCCTTCCTTTACAGGTGAGATCCAGAGACACAACTATAATAAGAATAGAATCCCTGTTATCTTCAGAGTAGTGTATTTTTATATGTGTGGATATAACATAGGTTTGATAATCTACTAAAAATGTATCAAACGCTCCTGACTTCCCTTTCGGTAAAAGGCACTTTGTTAATCCTGAACGCACATATTAAAAAAAAAAAAGTGGCCGATCTTCCAAGATATGCTTTATCCGAAGTTTGACACAGCTTCACAAGTCAACACACACAGGATTTGTTTCCAGCCTGCACAGGTGAGTCTCACCAAGAGAACTCTTCCTATGAAGATTTCAACTTTCAGAGCACAGCAAGTCAGACACTTAACGTGTAAGGACTCTTTAGTTTCCTTGGAAGGAAATCAAGAATGAAAGCTTTCTGCTTGGATTGAGTATTTCCCTAAAATATACTGAGTAGTAATATTTTCTAACAGCAGAAAGCAGCTCACGAGGAGCAGAGAGATTGAGCATGAATGCCCACATCAACCTCAGTTACCATCTCGAGGTGAACCCATGCTGCTGCTTTTACTTCTTCTTTGGCTGCAAGTAAAGGATTTTCTGATTTTCTTCCAGCCACAACATTTTCTTAGGATTTTAAAGCAGTTTGGCCCAGAAAATGATTTGCTTCACAAACTCTTTTTCTGAGGTAATTTTCTAGAACTCATGTCTTTTGATAAGGAAGTTAAACTGTATTTCAAAGGTAAGCACAACCTCAAACTAGGACATGGTTACACTATGACCCCAAAACAATATGTGCATAAGTCATCCTGCACACACCTCTGTTTGCGCATTCTCTCAGTCAACACATCAACCACAAATACTGAGGTCCACTGGTAGGAGATTTCTGATACTCAAGTCATAAGCTCTTCTCAGAATGCTGTGGTTGTCAAAGATTGCTAATAAAAGAAACAGTGAGACACTATCCGCAGGCTTACAGAGCAACATACACAGAAAGGTCATTGTACCCAGAATTCTGCCAATGAACCACTAGTCAAACATACACATTCACACACACCCCACAAGGAGAAAAATGCATTTTATAAGGGCAGACATCAATAGAAGGGTTACATACAACTCCAAATCAGTAAGATCCTACAAAACGAAACAGTGGAGCTTGCTGCAAGAGCAGCAGTGAAAAACAAAAATTTATTTTTTAAGGCAGTAGTTTTCCTGGCAAGATTCAGATGGAAAAATAGCAACTTATCCCAGAAGCAGAGCTGTAGCCAGTAACAACCTAAGTTCAAGCCATTTTAGGTAAGAGAGGGATAATACTTAAAGGATTCACTGCAAAGTTACCCTGCATTTCTGGGCCTTAGGCTGATCCATGACTTGGGGTCTACTACAAGTCAGCTGACAAACATTTACTAAATACATGCTACATGTTCAGGACTCTGCTAGTCATCATTGAGGGATGAGACCTTTTTCAGGCATATGCCAGTTACTGAGTAGGCACTGTAGATCACCTTCACACCCCGAGCACTGAGGGAAGCATTTCCCCTATTTTATATGTGAGAGGATTAATGCAAGGAGAATCCCACAAGGCCACACAACTAATAAGTACAGTCAGACCCTGACCCCAATTCTGCCAGACTCCAAAGCCCATGAGACCACATTACCATGCATAAAATACGGCTCCTGACCTAAAGAGGCTTAAAATAACCTAACCCAGTTAGAGATCAATACAGCCAATATAATCAAGGGCTAACAAACAAGTATCTCGAGACTTTAAAGAGAGAAAAGAAATGAGTAGAGAAGATATTATGAAAGAAGTAGGACTTAGGCTCCTTGTCCGAGGATGGATATGAGTTGCGCAGGAGAGTGGAAAGCAGAGAAGGAGGTTCTGAGGAGAATAATGGGAGCAGTGACATAGCAGTGGGAAAGAGACTGGCACCTCAGCAGGACAGCAAGAAGACCAAATGGCATAGAATGCAAAGATGTACGCTGAACTGCAAATAGGATTCACATAGGAAGATGAGGCCAATTATGAAAAGCCTTGAAAAAGCAGGCATATCATTTTAGGCTTGAGATAGTGGATAATGGAGAGGAACTGAAGGTTGCAAGGCCAGGAGAGACATGAGAAAGTAATCATTTAAAAAGATTAGAAGGGCAACAAGATGCTGAAAAGACCAGAGAGAAGAGTATCATTCCTTCAGTCATTTGGCAAACATTTAATGAGGGCTTACTAAGGGCCAGGAAGGGTGAGGTCTGGGTTAGAATAAAGAGGGAGGGATCTATATAAAACACATTTCAAAGGTCTTGATGAATCACTGATAGAAGGGATGAAGGAAATAAAGGAAAAGATGGTTAAAGATAATTCCTGTCATGACTGACATAATTTTCACCTTCACTGGGAACCTTAATAAGCAGTGAGAATAAAACAAACAATGAAAGTACGAAAAGGGCTCTGATGATGTTGAACAGTCAATAAATAAAACCCCAGATGGCTTGTTCCTGGTCCTGGTTGCTCACTTATGCATAGTCTGTAGGGAAGAAACTTGAATGAGAAAAACCACTTCTTTATGACTAAATGCTGAGTTCCCTTGGGAAAAAAAAAAAAAGGGCAGGGGTCTGCCTACTTCGGCTCCACCCTCCAATGCACCCCTCCACCATGTGAAACTCATTAAGAAATGTGGCTGCCCCTTCCTGGGCACCCCTTCCTGCCCAGACACCAATGTTGACTTTGGAGAAGGTGACAAGGCAAAGCGGAAAGGGAGAAACAGAAAGTGGGCAGGGTCACTGTAAGGCTGGACCTCAGGGAGCAAGGAATGGTTCAAGATGTCACTTTAAATAAAGAATCCCAGCACTGCTCTCATTTCTACACCCACTTCCTACTGTTTTACAATTCCTGCTCCTCAGATAAGAAGGCCTTCAAGATTCTTTACCAAATTGTAGTGCTTTGTTCAGAAACTATTTCAAATGTGCATATTTATGCATATATTAACTCCTAGTGCAGTTAAGCATATGGTTGATACACAAATTCTTCTTAATATGTTTATACATATCTTTGACATATGTTTTTACATACCTTTATATGTTGACTACACAAATTTAAAGCTTATTTTAATTTTACATTCAGCAATAGTTACATTCACTATTGGGGCACACCCTGAAATCCCCCCATTCACTGGGAAATGTGGGAAATGAAAACTGTAACTATCAAACTTCTATTACAACAAAGAGTGCTCCAGGCCAATATAAAAAACACAAGCTGCAGTACCTCACAGAAATCCAGACCCCAAGCAAAATTCAGAGTGGTATTTCCTCAGCCTGGTCCAGCTTTAGCAAAAGCAGGTCTTAAGAACACTCTTCTCTGCAGAATGATGGATTAAACTTCCTTACATATAAGCTCTCATGTTAGTCAAAATCAAACTTTAATAGATCAACGTTACAAAAGAAACAGTTGTTCTGGAAAATGCTTTAACATTCTTCTCATAACATCTACTCTGATTAGTAATAAAGAAATCAGAGCAGAAAGAAATTCAGTGAAAAATGGTTGCAAATAAGTACGTGAGGATTCTTGCTCAGACCCTTTGCGGGACATCCAAGGGCCTAGTCTGGGAAATTCCAAGAACAAGTCCTCAACATGCCCCCACAGGGAATTCAAATAGCTAGGATCATCCCCTTCTTTAAGACGGAAAGTAAACACCCATCAAAATCCTCCAGACTCCGAGGAAACAGGAGTTTTCATGCTAGGAGGGAGAAACCCACATGACCGCGGAGAGAACTACCGCCCATTAGCCTTTTCCTTCGCGGGGCCACGGGGCAGGGGTCCCCCCCTCAGCTCCAGCCCAGCACCCCGAGTGACAGGTCGCCCGGCAGAAAGCCCCTTAATCCGTAAGCCCCACTTACTGGCGCCGCGAACACAGGCGGGGGACCGCCCTGCGGTGAGCGCAGCTCCTCGGCGAGGGGGGCGCAGCCGCCCGCTCAGGAACTGGAAATGGGGGGCGATCCCTGCTAGGACAGGCCGAGGGCTCCGTGCGGGGACGCCCGGGCCGCGCGGCGCATGGTAGTGCAGCAGGAACCCGGCCGCCTTCCAGCCTCCAGCAGGAAAACAAACAAAAGGCAGGGTGGCTTCTAGCGGGGACGACCGGCCGCTTTCCCTGGGAAAAGTTACCCTGCAGCTCCCCTCGCTGGCCCTGCGCGTCCCTGCACCGCGTCCACTTCGCCCGGGGCGCCCGGCCGCACCGCACCGCCCTCGGCCTAGGGCAGCACGGAGCCAAGGCATCGCTGCCTCCCCCTGATCACGAATGCGACCCCCGACTCCAAACGCACGCCTTTTTACAGATTGACTCCACCAATTTAGTTGTCGATGCATGTTCTGAGCACACTTAAAGGGAGTGAAAGCATTTCCCGATTTTAAAAAACGTACCGGTGAATGTAATCAATGTCACTGAACTGTACATTAAAAAAAGGTTAAAAATGGAAAATTTTATGTAATCTATGTTTTACCACAATAGAAAAATATTTAAAATAAAAACGCAACTGATAACTATTAGCATTCATTTGAACTTTGAAGAGTTTTTATATTAGTAACTTCAGTTTGAAAAACTGGATTCTTACCCATGTGGGAAACTGACTAGATGTCCTCTACACACCTGTCCTCTCTGTGCAACAAGTTACATGAAATCTTAACTCTTAACACCTACTTTTTAAACACATTCACTTAAGTCATAAATTATATTATAGACATTACCTTAAATCACCCTTAGAAGGATTGGCTCTGAAGAGCCTTGAAAAAAGAAATGCTTCCAGATCCCTGATTTAAATTTACATGATTGTTCTAAGCCAATGGTTCTTAAACATTAGCAGGAGATATCAGAATCATCTGGAGGGCTTGCTAAAAACAAATTCCTGGGCCCCACCTCCAAAGTTTCTGTTAGGGGAAGCACACTGCTCCAAGCAACACAATTTTGATTAATAAATCAGTAACCCTTTAACACATTGTGGATACTTCTCTGAGTTTAAATTTCCCAGCTCATCAGCATATCAATTTCCTCCCAATATTTTTATTTTTGAATTCTAAGGACTAAAGATAGTTTTTCCTGAAAGAATCTATACAAAATGCCTGAATAGCTCTCTCTTCTTGCTCCTGTTGAAGAAACATACCACATATAAGATTGTCAAGCTTCCTCTCCCAAATAGGAAAGGATCATCTGGCCACTTGGCAAATGTGTAACATTTATCTACCTTTGTGTTTGCCTATATAACAGCCAAACCCTATGGCAAATCAAAACCAAAAATCATTATCAGTGAAAAGAAAAAAAAAAAAAAGAGGGAGCCTAGCAAGTCGTATACTACTCCTGTGAAAAGCAATTTTTAAAGAAACTACAATTATCAGTTATAGTAAGATTCAATTGTCCAAGCAGTCTACCTGGCAAATAAAGGGACCGTTTTGGTCTACCTTTAGCAGGGATTCACTGGGCTAGTAACTTAGACCAGTAATTCTGGTCTCGGGAAAATTATAATCCTGTTAATATAATATGAGATAATATAACCCTGTAACAAGGTCTAATGGATGCAGTGGAACTGACCTAAAATAGAAAATTAGTAGCTGTGAAGCAAAACAGTGTTTTATTACTTGCTCAATTTATCTTTACAAATATTTTAAGCTTTATTACTTAATTGCTTGCTAGAAATCAACTGTGCTAATTGACCAGAAAAAACCTAGAGTCTCCTTTAAAAACTAAAAACACGAAGGTACTTTTTACAAATAGCTGACTCAGGGTGCAAATTAAAACACACCCATCCAAAGAGTGAATCCTAATATTAAACATGACATCTGTACTTCCTTATTGTACCTCTTCATTCTCTGGTCTTTTTTTTTTTTTTTTTTCCTCCCTCCATGTCTCTGCCAAAGATGTACTGCATTTCTAAAATCTCCAGAATAAAAGAATGGATTAGAAATTTAAACTCTGAGCTCGGTGAATGTAGTGTCTTGGAATCCTGATGATTTAGTCCGTGGCACCTAGTAGAAACCTTACAAACTCAGTAAATGTTTGCTAAATGAAGGTAAGAGGCTATGAAGGTTGCATGCAAACTTCTGTAACTCAAAAGGTTTAAAGTGTGGAAAAATAAAATATCGCGTAACTAGTAAGACTGTCTTCACTTGAAGTGAAATCAGGTGCTTGAGCTTTAAGAGGCGGGGCAAGGACCATGTGCAAGTTCCGGTGCTGAACGCGGAGCGGCAGACTACAAATCCCAGAATGCCTCGCGGAGGCCGTCTCCGCTGGACTTGGGCTTCACGGCCTTGGAGTTACAGGCCCTTCCCCCATTGCCTTATGGGATCTGTAGTGAGACGTGCCTTGCGTGGGCTGTTTTCTTTCCGTTCCCCTGCTAAGTGTGTAGGCGCATCTTTTCCTCCATCTCTGCCTTCTCTGTGCACTGTAAGAAAGTTCAGTCGTTGTAAGAGCCTGTGACTGCTGTGGAGTTTCGCTGTTTCCCCGCAATCCTAGGACTGTAGCCAGAGCCGCGGACCGCGTAGAGACCGTCCGGAGCGTCCAGTTTAGTTTTCCTCAGGGCGGCTTGCCTAAGGGGCTCAACTTTAAATTTGACTTACAAACACTTTTGAGATAACGCTTGTTCAACTTTGCCTAAGTGTTCGCTGCGCCGAATACATGGGCTGCGTTTGAGGTTCCGCGAACTAGCAGCCGCACACAGCGGACCCACTCCTCTCGTCCACCTCTAGACGGCGCGCGCGTCCAGGGGGCCGGGTCGCGCCTTCAGGCGTTGACGTCACTGCGCGTGCTCAGTGCGTCGGCGCAGGTTTCCGCAGCATCAGAGGCAGCTCCGCCGGGGCGTCCGGGGTATCCAGCAGGGCAGACGCTGCGGTGCTCGCAAGTCCTCGGCCTTTCCTGGCAGCGGGTGTCCCTCCGCTCCCCGGTCCACGGCAGCCGCTCCAGCGCGCCCCGATCTGGCCCCCTGCCCTACGAAGATGGCTGCCGTACGCCGGGCCCGCAGTTACTGCCGCTGCCTGGTGCGCTTCTCCGACCGAGAACTCTGCTAAGTCCCGCTGCAGCAGACAGGCAGGAGTAGACACCCGGACACCCACCACCCCTCCTCGGAGGACGGTGCAGAGGGGGTTCGGAGAGCCCCTAGACCGCGGCCGGCAGCCCCGCCAGCATGGTAACCTGGGAAGGGGGGTTTCTAGGGGACACTGCAGGGCGGGGAACGGCCAGGCCTGGGGGTGGGGGCCCAAGGGAGCGGGTAGGGGAGACTCGGAGGAGCGGGAGTTGCATGGCAGCCTCAGGAGCCCTGGCCTGAGAGAGAGTGGAAGGGATGCCAGCCCTGACAGCTCCCCAGGGTTCTTTCTTGCCGAACCCCGCAGTCGGACTCGGTGAGAAAAGAAGAGGGTTGCAAGACGGCCCGAAAAAAGTGCCCTTTCTCGGCTTACTGAGGAGGTTGAACGAATCTAGCCCCTTAGAGGGATTTTATCAAAAGCAGTTAGTGTAGGTTGGGGTGAGCTGTCGCAGCATCTGAATTCGGGAGTGAGCCCTTGCAAACAGAGACACTTGTTGATTGCACCTCTTCTGGAAAGCCGGGCCCACAGAGAGACGTTCCCACCCCTTAGGAAGCCTTGGGTTTAGGACGCACCTGCCCGCGAGGCGTCAGTGCCCTGGGTAGGAAGTTGGCAGGCGGTCCTGGTCCTGGCGGAGAGGGGTTGGAGGGATCGAGTCTCACTTCATGGCAGCAAGGGCCTGAGCAGCTTCTGTGCAGTCTGAAGGGACAGCTAAGCTGCAGAAGTTGACAGCACAAATTCCATGGGACTGTTGCACACTAGAATATGTAGTCTCTGTCCTTTGCCTTTGTTGGGCTTCGAATAGTGCATCTGAGAGATTAATCTCTGGCTAGGGCTGAATTAATTGAGGATGAAATAATACTAAATTGTCTTATAGAAGACTCTCAAATATTTATTGAATAATTGGATGCCTGAGTGAATGAATTTTATGAAATTAACCTGGAGGGTAGAAAAAAGCACAAATTGACTCTGCCTGTAAACTTTCAGTAGTTCTGTGAACGGGATTAAGCACTTAACCTTTATATTTCATTATTCCACCTGTGAAACAAAATGATGAAGATGAGCTACTCAAATATATGAACTACTTAATTGAAAGGTGACATTTAGGGCGAACTCTTATGAAAAATAAAGTGAAAACCTCTGGGTGGCAACCGAAGGCCTACTTATTTCAGGTCGTATTTGAGTTGACTAAATGTGGTAATACCCAAATCTGATAGTTTTTTTGTGATCATACTATCAAAATCAAGTAATGGATAGAACTCTATTATAATACAGCTCAGGGAAGAAAAAATTGCTGTGTCCATTCCTCATCCTTAAGATATTCATTACATATACACATGACATTTTATTAATTCAACCAATTTTTTTTGAGCTCCTATTATCAGCCTGGCATGGTGTTGATACAATACTAGATTTTTATCAGTTTAACTCAGAGGCTGTTCACTCTCTTCTTAAAACCCTCCAAATCACACCTATGACCACCATTTTTAACCCATTCACTATGGCATGGTCCTACAATCTAATCACCTCTTTAAGGCCCCACCTTCAATTACCGTAGTAGGATTTTCCACCCTCAACAGTTAAAATGGAAATTAAGCTTCTAATATATGAAATTTAGGGGACACATTTCAACCAATCCACAGCAGCTTCCAACTTAAAGGGACTTTAAAAGATGTATTTGACAAAACATTAATGCTTAAATTTTCCATTTTCTGTAAATTTATCTTGGCCTCTTGTATACTTCTTCATCGGCTTATTCTTTAGTATGCTGAATGTTTTACCTTATGCTAACTAGTTTGGATCTTAAAGGTACCTCTGTTTTAAGTCTGGTTGCCAGAGATAAGATAGAAAGTAAGGCTTAAATGTAATATAGTGCAAGTATATTTGGTTGCTGTGTCCAATGATCTGTGTTAATATAAACATTTTTTTTCCCCTGGAAATAACTTACAGTGAAAATTTGCAATTGT